TACTTTCCAGGACCGCACCATTCAAGGCTGGGTCCACCTGGAAGTCAAGGCTGTTTTCTAAAAAAAAAAAAAAATAAAAAAGACCGGCTCCATCTGGACCCGAAGCCACTACCTTTCGATCCGCAGGCCAGAGTCTAACCGCTACACCACGTTGACTCCCTAATTAGCAAAAGGCCCTTTATTTTCTGCCAGTGACGAAAGATGCGTATGATACTAGTCTCATATGTTTATAGACTGATTGGTACTCTCTGTTGCTTTTTTTTTTTTTTTAGGCTGTCTGAGGTATTTTGAGAATTCTTCTATAAAACCACATTTCCGTGGCCTCGAGAAATTGTTTGGCCTGCCTACCGATTGTCCAGGACTCACAGCCATATCTTAAAACTGGATGTATGTAGCAAGCAAGAATTCTTTCTCCAACCTTCGATAAATTATGTATATTGTATAAGATGTTTTTCATTTTAAAAATGCAATTTTTATCCATCCTATTCTGTTTTGTTTCTCAGTAATGCATCTTCCATCTGATGTTATCCATGTGCCCAGATACTAACATTTTTGAACTTGTCCCACAATAACACCACTGACCTTTATTACACATTTAGAAATAATTCTTTCCTTTGATACCACCATTACTTCTGTCTTTCCGTTTTTTTTTTTTTTTTTAAACTGAGGACAGTTCTTCCACTTTCTACCATGACAATTAATATAATTTCCTTTAGTTCTTTCTACGGTAAAAAAAAAAAAAAAAACATTGTACAGTCATTGTCGACATCAAGGAAAAGTAATTTGTCGGCGAATTATCTGCCGCTGAACTGAAGCACGGGTTTTAGAATGATGACACATTTCTTGTTAGATGAAATGCACAAGACTAATCTCACGCTAGTGACGAACTGGACACAGACAGAAACGTATTTGTAAAGATCAATCGGCACTGCTGGGTGATGTGGTCGAACGCCCACCGGCCTTTTTTTGCTTCCCAGGATCCAGCCTGATACCTATTTCAGGCTAGAAGTCAGGATACAATTCGAAAACAAAACGGATCTGGCAAAGCGTTTTCGAATGTAAGATCTTTTGTCCAAATGACAAGTTTCAAGCCACCAAACTTTGAAGACAAGGGAATTAACAGAGTTAAATCATTTTTTCAATTTGACATTACAATGTAATGTCCCTTTGCAAAATCATATTTGTTAAACTCTGCTTTTCAAGTTGCATAGAGCTAATATGTGTCCCAGAAAACGTCAAGGGAAGAAAAGATATGCGGCATTATGTTGGTCACATGGTGGTAAGTCTCGATTCGTCCACACACAAAAGGTGTCTAGCGCCATTCACTCAATGATCCAGTGGCGTTAGCGCGCCTTTACTTTCCACTATTTGGATAGATCACTGACAATTGGACCATATTTTTGAAGTAGAAAAGATGTCGAGACATTATTCTCTCACTCTGGACTACAAGTTACTTCGTAACCGCTGTGTGGTGCACCATTAAAGCTGTGCTATATGTCTATAATAGGGGAATAGGGGATTTTTAGCTGAAATGCTATAGAATGATTCTCAGAATATCTTGGACAAAGAAGATGAGAAATATTGACATCTTAAAAGATCTTAACATCAAGGAAGATTGGCTAATAAACAGCATCCTTTTTTGAAAGCTGAAATATGTTGGTCATATCAAGCGCCACGACGGATTGGGAAAAAATTATAACAGAAGAGGAGGAGCAGGGGCCGACCGACCTGAAGATGGGCACAGGATATAAGTGACTCCTTGAGTGTGAAAGTGCATGAGGCGGGAGAGCTGGCAAGAGACCGAGTTTCTTTCAGGCAGACTGTGATGAGAGCGACGTTCTGCAAAGGACCTGATACAGAATTCCGGGATGTGTAGTTGTTTTTGTCTCTTACTTGAGACTAATTTAAGTTTGTATGTAAGACAGACAGAGAGAGACAGACAGACAGACAGACAGACAGACAGACAGACAGACAGACAGACAGACAGACAGACAGACAGACAGACAGACAGACAGACAGACAGACAGACAGACAGACAGACAGACAGACAGACAGACAGACAGACAGACAGACAGACAGAGGGTGACAGTTGGAACGGGAAAATGAACACTGGTATTTGATACAAAGCAGAGAAAAAAAGTAAAACAGCAGTAAAATATGAGAAACAAAAAGGAAACTATACATAGGAAACAGATATTATAATTAAATAAGCAAATGACCATTTTCACGCCAATGGGGCTTCAAATGTATGATTTAATTGTTCTGCTTTCTGTCATCTAATGAGCATAGACTTTCAACCAACTTCAAGTCGTTCTGCCATTTGCTCTTGCAAGCAGCTCACCCCCACCTAATCCCATCAACATCTTTTTTAACTACTCTCTCTAACCCTCTTCTCCATTTGTGTGCTGATTTTTTTTCTTGTGTCTGTCTTCATTTCTACACCTCTGTCGGCTCCAGTGCAAAGTCATTCCAGTTATTTTGTTCTCAAAGATTCTAAATGTATGTCCTATCCAAGGCCAGGTCTTTTTTGTACAACACTGGGTTCGATGCTCACTAGTTCCAAGTCAACCAAGAGGAGGTTCGATGCTGAATAGTTTCAAGTCAACCAAGACGAGGTTCGATGCTCTGTATTTACAAGTGAACCAAGACAAAGTTCGAAGCTTTTCAGTTACAAGTAGATCAAGACGAGGTTTGATGCTCATCAGTTACAAGTGAACCTAGACGAATGGTGGTAGTGGTCATTGCGGTGGTAGTGGTCATTGTGGTGGTAGTGGTCATTGCGGTGGTAGTGGTCATTGTGGTGGTAGTGGTCATTGTGGTGGTAGTGGTCATTGTGGTGGTAGTGGTCATTGTGTTGGTAGTGGCTCGATGCTCATCAGTTACAAGTGAACCAAGACGAGGCTCGATGCTTATTAGTAACAAATCAACCAAGACGAGGCTCGTTGCTTATTAGTTACAAGTTAACCGAGACGAGGCTCGATGCTCTGTATTTATAAGTGAACCCAGACGAGGCTCGATGCTCATCAGTTACAAATCAACCCAGACGAGGCTCAATGCTCATCAGTTACAAATCAACCCAGACGAGGCTCAATGCTCATCAGTTACAAAGACAGCCCAGACGAGGCTCAATGCTCATCAGTTACAAATCAACCCAGACGAGGCTCAATGCTCATCAGCTACAAATCAACCCAGACGAGGCTCAATGCTCATCAGTTACAAAGGCAACCCAGACGAGGCTCAATGCTCATCAGTTACAAATCAACCCAGACGAGGCTCAATGCTCATTAAAAACAACTCCACCAACACCGGATTTGATACTCAATTTTTACTTCATTTTTGCGTTCATCGGCTATAAACTCCAATGGAACGTTCTGGTTGGTCGTCCACTTTTGAGCTCTATTCCTGTTCCAGAAACTGAGTGTTGCGTGCACATCCGTTTCACAACTCTGACTCATTTGCATGCAGACTGTTGGCTCCTTACCTCTCAGGTAAATGTTCTCCTCGAAGACAGCTTCCAGTAAGTCGCTTCTTATGATATGCTCTTGGACAGGCAGTGGCTTATTTCATATTTACCCACAGTGAGTTTACTTTTATAGTAGCAAACGTATTATTGTTAGTGGCAGTAGTGGTTGAATGTGTTGGTAGTGGTCATTGTGGTGGTATTGGTCATTGTGTTGGTAGTGGTCATTGTGTTGGTAGTGGTCATTGTGTTGGTAGTGGTCATTGTGTTGGTAGTGGTCATTGTGTTGGTAGTGGTCATTGTGGTGGTAGTGGTCATTGTGTTGGTAGTGGTCATTGTGGTGGTAGTGGTCATTGTGGTGGTAGTGGTCATTGTGGTGGTAGTGGTCATTGTGTTGGTAGTGGTCATTACGGTGGTAGTGGTCATTGTGGTGGTAGTGGTCATTGTGGTGGTAGTGGTCATTGTGTTGGTAGTGGTCATTGTGGTGGTATTGGTCATTGTGTTGGTAGTGGTCATTGTGGTGGTAGTGGTAATTGTGGTGGTAGTGGTCATTGTGGTGGTAGTGGTCATTGTGGTGGTAGTGGTGATTGTGTTGGTAGTGGTGATTGTGTTGGTAGTGGCCATTCTGGTGGTAGTGGTCATTGTGTTGGTAGTGGTCATTGTGGTGGTAGTGGTGATTGTGTTGGTAGTGGTCATTGTGTTGGTAGTGGTCATTGTGGTGGTAGTGGTCATTGTGGTGGTAGTGGTCATTGTGGTGGTAGTGGTCATTGTGTTGGAAGTGGCCATTGTGGTGGTAGTGGTTGATTGTGTTGGTAGTGGTCATTGTGGTGGTAGTGGTGATTGTGGTGGTAGTGGTCATTGTGTTGCTAGTGGCCATTGTGTTGGTAGAGGTTGATTGTGTTGGTAGTGGTCATTGTGGTGGTAGTGGTCATTGTGTTGGTGGTGGTCTTTGTGTTGGTAGTGGTCATTGTGGTGGTAGTGGTCTTTGTGGTGGTAGTGGTCTTTGTGGTGGTAGTGGTCATTGTGGTGGTAGTGGTTGATTGTGTTGGTAGTGGTCATTGTGGTGGTAGTGGTCATTGTGGTGCAAGTGGTGATTGTGTTGGTAGTGGTCATTGTGTTAGTAGTGGTGATTGTGGTGGTAGTAATCATTGTGTTGGTAGTGGTCATTGTGTTGGTAGTGGCGATTGTGTTGGTAGTGGTCATTGTGGTGGTAGTGGTGATTGTGGTGGTAGTGGTCATTGTGGTGGTAGTGGTCATTGTGTTGGAAGTAGCCATTGTGGTGGTAGTGGTTGATTGTGTTGGTAGTGGTCATTGTGGTGGTAGTGGTGATTGTGGTGGTAGTGGTCATTGTGTTGCTAGTGGCCATTGTGTTGGTAGAGGTTGATTGTGTTGGTAGTGGTCATTGTGGTGGTAGTGGTCATTGTGGTGGTAGTGGTCATTGTGTTGGTGGTGGTCTTTGTGTTGGTAGTGGTCATTGTGTTGGTGGTGGTCTTTGTGTTGGTAGTGGTCATTGTGGTGGTAGTGGTTGATTGTGTTGGTAATGGCCATTGTGGTGGTAGTGGTCATTGTGGTGGTAGTGGTCATTGTGTTGGTAGTGGTCATTACGGTGGTAGTGGTCATTGTGGTGGTAGTGGTCATTGTGGTGGTAGTGGTCATTGTGTTGGTAGTGGTCATTGTGGTGGTATTGGTCATTGTGTTGGTAGTGGTCATTGTGGTGGTAGTGGTAATTGTGGTGGTAGTGGTCATTGTGGTGGTAGTGGTCATTGTGGTGCTAGTGGTGATTGTGTTTGGTAGTGGTGATTGTTGTTGGTAGTGGCCATTCTGGTGGTAGTGGTCATTGTGTTGGTAGTGGTCATTGTGGTGGTAGTGGTGATTGTGTTGGTAGTGGTCATTGTGTTGGTAGTGGTCATTGTGGTGGTAGTGGTCATTGTGGTGGTAGTGGTCATTGTGGTGGTAGTGGTCATTGTGTTGGAAGTGGCCATTGTGGTGGTAGTGGTTGATTGTGTTGGTAGTGGTCATTGTGGTGGTAGTGGTGATTGTGGTGGTAGTGGTCATTGTGTTGCTAGTGGCCATTGTGTTGGTAGAGGTTGATTGTGTTGGTAGTGGTCATTGTGGTGGTAGTGGTCATTGTGTTGGTGGTGGTCTTTGTGTTGGTAGTGGTCATTGTGGTGGTAGTGGTCTTTGTGGTGGTAGTGGTCTTTGTGGTGGTAGTGGTCATTGTGGTGGTAGTGGTTGATTGTGTTGGTAGTGGTCATTGTGGTGGTAGTGGTCATTGTGGTGCAAGTGGTGATTGTGTTGGTAGTGGTCATTGTGTTAGTAGTGGTGATTGTGGTGGTAGTAATCATTGTGTTTTTAGTGGTCATTGTGTTGGTAGTGGCGATTGTGTTGGTAGTGGTCATTGTGGTGGTAGTGGTGATTGTGGTGGTAGTGGTCATTGTGGTGGTAGTGGTCATTGTGTTGGAAGTGGCCATTGTGGTGGTAGTGGTTGATTGTGTTGGTAGTGGTCATTGTGGTGGTAGTGGTGATTGTGGTGGTAGTGGTCATTGTGTTGCTAGTGGCCATTGTGTTGGTAGAGGTTGATTGTGTTGGTAGTGGTCATTGTGGTGGTAGTGGTCATTGTGGTGGTAGTGGTCATTGTGTTGGTGGTGGTCTTTGTGTTGGTAGTGGTCATTGTGTTGGAAGTGGTCATTGTGGTGGTAGTGGTTGATTGTGTTGGTAATGGCCATTGTGGTGGTAGTGGTTGAGTGTGTTTGTAGTGGTCATCGTGGTGGTAGTGGTCATTGTGTTGGTAGTGTTCATTGTGGTGGTAGTGGTCATTGTGGTGGTAGTGGTCATTGTGTTGGTAGTGGTCTTTGTGGTGGTAGTGGTCTTTGTGGTGGTAGTGGTCTTTGTGGTGGTAGTGGTCATTGTGGTGGTAGTGGTTGATTGTGTTGGTAGTGGTCATTGTGGTGGTAGTGGTCATTGTGGTGCTAGTGGTGATTGTGTTGGTAGTGGTCATTGTGTTAGTAGTGGCGATTGTGTTGGTAGAGGTCATTGTGTTGGTAGTGGTCATTGTGTTGGTAGTGGTCATTGTGTTGGTAGTGGTCATTGTGTTGGTAGTGGTCATTGTGTTAGTAGTGGTTGATTGTGTTGGTAGTTGTCATTGTATTGGTAGTGGTTGATTGTGTTGGTAGTCGTCATTGTATTGGTAGTGGTTGATTGTGTTGGTAGTCGTCATTGTGTTGGTAGTGGTCATTGTGTTGGTAGTGGTCATTGTGGTGGTAGTGGTCATTGTGGTGGTAGTGGTGATTGTGTTGGTAGTCGTAGTAGTAGAAGAAGAAGCAGAATTTGCAAGAGCATACATTAATATTAGTACATGTTGTAGCCGTTGCTATTGTTGTTGTAGAGGAAATACGAATTCTACTACTAGTAGTAGCACCAGTAGTATTAGCAACGCTAGTAGTAGTAGTAGTAGTAGTAGTAGTGGTAGTAGTAGTAGTAGTAGTAGTAGTAGTAGTAGTAGTAGTAGTAGTAGTAGTAGTAGTAGTAGTAGTAGTAGTAGTAGTAGTAGTAGTAGTAGTAGTATTAGCAACGCTAGTAGTAGTAGTAGTAGTAGTAGTAGTAGTAGTAGTAGTAGTAGTAGTAGTAGTAGTAGTAGTAGTAGTAGTAGTAGTAGTAGTAGTAGTAGTAGTAGTAGTAGAAGTAGTAGTAGTAGTAGTAGCAGCAGCAGCAGCAGTAGTAGCAGTAGTAGCAGTAGTAGTAGCAGCAGTAGTAGCAGTAGTAGTAGCAGCAGTAGTAGTAGTAAATGTCAAAAACAGAGTCGAAAGGATCAAATACATTGTACCAGGTTTAGTCCCAAAAAAACAGCTCCAGTGACAATCCACATAACACGTAAACTAAACTGAACTGTGAAACGAATCCACGAACTCAGAGAGCAAGGCAAAGCAAACGGACTAGTCACTTCTCTGCTAAGACCCTATTCAACCAACCACCACCCCCCAACCTCCCCTCCCTCTCTCACCGTTACATGACAACCAAAAACACCTTAGTTGGTAAGGTCCTTTCAATTCTGACCCC